TCCACTCCATAATCATAGTACGCTTATCAATTTATTATTATCATGTGGTTCGAGTATGAAGGTGCGTGTTTTTTATCGGATTAGGAATCAATGTCTAAGTGAAATCGGATCCTCTTATAATTATTTAATTGTTATAATTATTCAGAACGCGAGTAAAAGTAGATTCACTAACCGTAACAAAAATATTTCAATATTATACAGTAAATTTTAATTACTTTACCTTTACTTACCCACATTATAAATACTGCAGGTACGCATGGGTCTTTTGGAGCCATGAGAATGTGTCTAACGCGCTACTGTTCACGTCTGGTCCTAGATTTTCTGCCTTACTTTTTGACAATTGCATTATTCTCTTACCTGTACAGGTACTAAAATTTGTTACGGTGTGTGACGAAAACGTTTTGGTCATAAAACGTTGACCAGTGTCGGGCAGGGAACAAAAACCACACTCGGTGCGTTGAACTCCACGTTGCACGCCGATTTTTTGGCGTATAATAATAAAATAAATCAGTCGTTGCCCTCATATAAACAAATACGTCCTTGATGATATAAATGAATGGATTTAAAACAATTTGCACGTTACCGTAAAGTTGACAACCTTGGTATATAAATCTTGACCATACTCAACGGGCTTTTCGTAGATGCAATGTAACGGGTTATAAAATTTTACTATGAAATACTCGTATTCTTTAAATTATTGTTATTTTCACCTCATTTCTTATTGTATGAGACTTTCGTTCTATACTTTCATCAAATTTTGTATAATACGACTAGCTACCATGCAGATTGGGCTTCCCTTTACGGTAAACAGGAAAGCGTATTTTTCAATTTTTTCCTACTACTATCTCTGCCATAATATTTTTAAACTTGAGCGTTTGATCCTCACCCCAATCATCTGGACAATTATAGAAATATATAAATACAGAAAAAAAAAACAGAAAACAGTAAACAAATTGTGGAAGATGTAAAGGAGAAATCTAGAATCGCCCTCTGAGCAAGGGACTCAAGGTGTTATTAATAATCTATGAAATAATGGAATCAAATATTGCCGTAGAGCAACAAAGATACCGTGCGTCAGTTTTTCGCGTCTCTAAGGCAATATACTCTCCCGTTACCGTACTACCACAAAAAATGGTTACTATTATTTTTCCTGCAGCAGGGGCGACTATAAACTTCATGGGGGGCTGGAGCCCTTAACATACTGCTTGGACTCTTGTTTCGAATCAGGATCATAATGACGAACCCAGGTTTCATCGCCAGTGACAAGTCAATTGATAATTAAATCTGATTCTTCTCCACAGCGCGCCAAGAATTGTTCAGAGCGGACAAGCATTCGGAATGGCACTAACTAACTATTTTATAATGAAATCTTTTTTCCAAAAATTCGTTTCTTGGACAGCTAAAGCGTTTCCACATTTTCACAACAAAATCAGTGATTAAATAACGATTACGACATATTTGTTAAAATGTATACGTAGTGGGTAGTTTTCAAAATAGGCGATGCCGGAATCATATGGATGACTATGATGTAAGAATAACGTAAAAATCAAAACGAAAAGGCCTAAAGATAAGGGTGACGAAATACAATAGAAATAATACCCGAGGTATCGGGAGGGTTGCAGATATAAGTTGCTGTTTGACTTCTTCAGTTGTTAAGTCTTCTAAGACAAGGTAAGTAGACCGCTTCTAATTACTTTTGCTAATGGATAACTCGATTTACTATTATTTCAGTACTCGATTAATATCAACATGTACGCAACAACGACCAAGTGCAAAGCAACAGCACCATATCTTTTATTTATGTTATATTAACAAAATTTGCTAGGTACCATTTTACTATAAGTAGGTAATTGAAATTTTAACTGTTGGGAATTTCTAAATTTATTCCATAACGATAGTTTTGGTGACCGGATCGTTCACAAACTATTGAATGTATCAAACTCGGGGGTTTCAATTTCGAAATCATGAAACTGAATACAAATGTTCTGGACCCAGAACCGATCAACGATCAAGGGAATATCATTATTGTCAAAACTACATTTTAAATACTAAACATCAAGTGTTTATTTCGTATTATTTTGCGATAATTTCGGTTTTCCCTTTTAGAGATTCCTGTAAAGTGCCCAAACTAATAGTTGTCCGTCCAGTAACCGCGTTTGATTGTTTTTTGAATTTGCAATATCAACAATAGATTGTCGTCTTCTCATTTAGTGCCATCTTGCAACAAAGAAGTAGTTATTTGATAATAAGGAGACAAGAAAACCTTTCTTCATAGCCATTCTTTAGTTAGAACGTCATTAACATACATTTACGTCTTTCTGTTTTATATATAATCGGGAATTATCCCATTTTCCGGTCAATTTTTCACATGTTTTAATATCCTATGTCCTATTCCCAGGGAAGAGTAATCCAACACACCAAAAATCACTAAAGTCGGTCCTGCCGTTCTTCAGTTATAAGATTACAAACACATTTCTGTCATACTGCTTTATATATATAGTTTAATATTTATAATCGGGAATTTTCTCATGTTTCGGTCAAATTTTCACATGTTTTAATATCCTATGTCCTATTCCCAGGGAAGAGTAATCCAACAAACCAAAAATCACTAAAATCGGTCCAGCCGTTCTTCAGTTATAAGATTATAAACACATTTCGGTCTTACTGTATTATATAATTATATAGATTCTGGTTATGTCCAGTAGCAAGCAATTGTTTAGATATTTTATTTGATAAATATCTCAGGGGTTACTATGAGTCGTAGGACGTCATCAGAGGGAGGTTTGCCCATCTACTTTATCAGTGGCTATTAATTTGAGAAATTTACCATCCTTAAGCGCCTCCAAAAGTCCAAAGAATTAATTGAGAAATGTTTAACTAATACCTGATGCAACTCCGGATAAAAAAAAAAGAAAAATTTAACATGAACACACTTCTTTAGCTCGGATTTTTGGCTCGATTAAACACAATACTAACAATTTATAGATGACACAAATTTATTTGGCATCCATCAATGAAAGCTGAAAGAAATATAGACACTCCGGGCCAGATAACACATGTACTACGCAACAAGCGATCGATTAAGCAAATTAAATTTAAATAAAGTTTTAATTAGGTACCTTAAGTTAATTAAGCCTAATCATCCGGTCATTCAACAAACACAAAGTACAAAAACCCGATGCTTTGGAATTTCACTTCTTTGCCTTTATTTAAACCTCGATTTAGACGACATTGACTTCGTTGATTACAATTATAGTATTGGTCCTTTGATGGTGAACAAAAATCCCTTTAACGGGTATTGGGAAACTTCATCCGTTTCCGTTTAACTCGCTTTATCAACTTGCTTATGATTTTCCTTCGACACTAATTATTCTTGGAGGCAAGCCACTTTCTTGTGCCAATACGCGCGACCATTCTTTGGGGCGAATCATGTTTGTGAACGAATTTTCTTTGCACATCTGTAAGACTCATCTTCATTCCGACAAGGACGAAATTACTTGCAGCTTGCAGGGGAGTTTTCTTCAGGGAGAATCATTTTTGGGGCGAATGTTTGGGGGAGAAACAGACGAGCTCACCTGGGGACGAGATTCCTTTAGTGCGATCTTGTTCTTTGGAAAGGAGCAGCTTTTGAAACGAGCGGAATTTACTTACGAACGAGTTTCCTTTTAGGAAAGGATATTTGGTGGCGAATTTTCTTGATAAATATCGCGGGGAAGGTCAGAAAAGGAACTCTATTTGAGCAGTGTGCTACAATAACATAGGCACAGCATTTAACCCATAGTATTTCATTGATTATTTACTAGAGCCAGGGTTGCTATCAACACTTCAAAAGATCATTCATCAAATCGTACTCAGAACTCACTGTCCATTATTCTTCGTGAAAATTATACTTCAACGGTCACTAAGCAAAATTTTATTGTATATAGTTTTCAGATGACCCTTAGTAGCCATTTTGGTCTGATTCTACTGATTCAAACTATCTAGCGTGTTTTTGGAAAAGGCAGGATTTATTGTTCAAGTGCGCAAACAAATTTAATTATCGATTCAGAATAGCGAAATATGTTTCTATGGATAGCTTATCAATTACGAAGGGGTAATTCTTTTCTTGCTGGTTGGAAATATGGGTTAAAAAATAAAGCTACACTTTCAGCTAAATACGTAGGTAACGAATCAAGTGGAGTAGGTTTTTTGAGGCCAACTGAAATTATTTTTTACCATAAAAAAGCGTTTAAAGAAATTTCAATTTGTTAAATTGATTAACGTAAACACATAGCGATAATCTTGAAAGTGACCATACGGTTATGTTGATAGCGCGTGACGCATACCTTGCACCTGCATTGTTATCGTTTATTTCCAACAGATTTACTTCCAAATCGGAAATCAGTTGTGAATCGGACGTTAAATGCGTAGAATGTAGTGTAGTTCGACAGTGACATTTTGTGATTTCTCTCCGTTTTGCTTCCTGATCTTTCAGCTTGGGGTACGTTTTTTGATATTATAACTAAATTTGATTCTTGATCGACATGTTTCTTTGAATCTTCAACTGTATCTTTCAAAATTTGTTCTGAAATACTTATTTGCATTGGCTATCTTTGCTATAAGCGCTACAATGATTAATAAAAGAAAACGAAATTCTGATGCAAAATTTTAGAACACGAATCCTTAGATTTTGGTAACTGTGTAGGTATATATTTTAATTAAAAATCCTTCTTTGTAAATACCAAATGAATGCTTTCTTTACCTGGACAAACTAAGGTTGATTGTCTTTCTCATAATTTGCCGTTTCCATTGACTTTTTTTAAAACAAGCAAAATAATTTTTAGGATCCCTGTCACAGAATCATTTTGTTCAATTCGTCAATTTGATTAACGTAAACAACTAGCGTAATCTTCAAAGTGACCGTACGGCTATGCTGATAGCGCGTGACGCATACCTTGCACCTGCATTGTTATCGCTTATTTGCAACAAATTTACTTCCAAATCGGAAATCAGTTGAGAATCGGACGTTAAATGCGTGGAATGTGGTGTAGTTCGACAGTGAAATTTTGTGATTTTTTACCGTTTTGCTTCCTGATCTTTCAGCTTGGGGTACGTTTTTTGATATAACACCTAAATTTGATTCTTGATCGACATGATTCTTTAAATCTCCAACTGCATCTTTCAAAATTGGTTCTGACCTTCTGACATACTTATTTACTTTGGCTATCTTTGCTATAAACGCTACAATGATTAATAAAAGAAACCGAAACTCTGATGCAAAATTTTAGAACACGAATTCTTAGATTTTAGAAACTGTGTATATTTTAATTAAAAACCCTTCTTTGCATACCAAATGAATGTTCTATTTAACTGGGCAAACTTAGGTTGATTGTCTTTCTTATAATTTGCATTTCCATTGACTTTTTTGAAGACAAGCAAAATAATTTTTAGGATCCCTCTTACAGAATCAATTGGTTCGAACTTACGCAATCAGTCGACGTATTAGCGGTTTTAAATTCCTCGTTTTTAAGTTTGAGAGTGCGGGATATTATAATTGTATCTAGGTATATAGATAGTACCTCATGCTATTTGCGATTGTTGCTTTGCCCTCCAAATTGCAAGTGCAAACGTTGTTGGATGTTTCTAATGCAGAATTTTTTTTTATAAATAAACGTTTAATGTAAGTTTAATTTAAATGTAGAATTTGTTTCAGAAACTACACCAAGGAAAATTATTAATGGGTAAGTGTTTGAGATACTACGATTCTTGGTGGTGGTATGTGGGAATCAACGACTGTAATTTGTTTTATAATTTCGTCGACAACTGATCTCTTAGAAAAAGGGAAACGTATATGTAACCTGTTTTTGGATGAATTTCTATCCAGGTATATCACACGTAGTGATAATAAACACATTATTAGGTCTCTGATTAAGATTTTTGGATCTTCTTTGTAAGATTTGCTTATACAAATGAAATTAGTTGAATGGTACCATTCACCAATTGTACTCCAGTTGGTGTGTATTCTAAGATTCGATTTGATCAATGAGAACTAGTTATTAAGGAAACCGAAAAGTAATTAAAGAAAACTGAATATCTACAATCTTCAAAATTTGAACACTCTCATTTCAGAAAAATCATCATTCTTTTATTCGTATCTACCTACAACATCCCTTTCAATACACAAAATTCGAAAGGATGAGAGGCAGGAAAGCAGCCACTTTGAACTGTTCAATCTCTAACCCTTTCTTGTATGCTTTGAAAACGACGATGTATACACTATTCAAAATATTGCAACAATTGACCCACAGGTATTATTTTATTTAAATTTTCACTTAATTTCTTTTTAAAAGTTTAGCCACCAAGTTAAATCTGTTTCACAGCGATTTTCATATCAAGTTATCAATCACACATAACTGCACCATGAAGGATCGGGGCTAAGTCATAATTAATATCTTCATTCATAATGCGATTTTCAATCTTCTTAGCGCATTTTCCAACTCATATTGGAAGGCGCTATTATGGCCACTTTCTTCGTCCGTCTGTCCGTCCGAGGCCTTAACTACTACAGCTTTCAAGATATTCAGTTCGTTCACCTCAACCAAGAAAAATCTTGGCGATGCGCAGACTGCGCAATGTCAACTTTCTATTTATGAATATATTTCTTTGAAATGCTTCCAGTAAAGACAAGCATATCGCATACTTTAAACATCAGGTGTGTGTATGCGCAGATTGTTTTTTATATGTAAGAATATTTATGTAGCCACACATTGTAGCAACCCTTGCATTTACACACCGTAGTAAACTATCCTATTATTTTTTTATTTATTATTTATAGTTTTGCCTAATGATTATTAACGAGCTCCTAGCGAGTTTATAATTTTGCAGTGTCTTTCCGTCTGTCCGTCCGTTAGCACGATATCTCGATAACGAATGGACCGATTACGATAAAATTTAGTAGATGGATTCTTTATCAAATTTTTAGATCGGAGTTCGTGAATTAGCAATGTAGCCCAAAAAATAAGGAAGGCCCTTTAGACATCTCCGTGAGTTATGAACCGAATTGCATGAAATTCAATATGCGCATAGCTTTAGCTATATCAAACCCAATTCCAAAAATTGAGCCTAATCGATCAACATTCACAGTGTCCTTTTCGCATCTCGACCATTTATAAACCGAATTGCAAACTTTTTTATTTATGAAGTATTTAAATGAAATTTGATATAATTATAGCCACTTGGAATAAAAGCAAATATAACGCCAGTGTCAAAATTTGGTTTTGCGCATGCGCAGTGCCTACTTTCTTATTTATGGAGGCATTCCTATGAAATTTGATACATAGCCACTTGGAATAAAAGCCAATGTAGCGCCATTTTCCAAATTTGGTTTTGTGTAGGATGTGCAGTGCCAACTTTCTTATTTATGGAAGCAATTAAATGAAATTTCATACATATACACTTTAAATAAAAGCAAAACTAACATCAGGTTTAAAATTTGGATTTGCACATGCTATAGCCAGGAGCTCGTTTTCTATATTTGTTTAGTTTATTCGATTTGGGGTTTAGTTAGTTTGGGTGGAAAATTTTTCTTTTAAATTTTCTGTTGCACAGTATATGTGAATTCCGACTTTAAATTTGGAATTACGACTTTGAATTCGAAATTCCGACTTTAAACTCGGAATTCGTATTTTTCAGTGTAGGAATTGAATTTTTGTATAAAATTCATAAAACGTTCTGATGAATCTGTGAAATAATTAAAGAAGATCCTGCATCTGGCCTGTTCAGTATTCGTTTCGGGGTGGCGCTTGCTGTAAACTATCCAGCAGAATTTTGCTTCAGTACGAATTTAATACTCAGCAACTAATTCTTCTAAATTCGAATGAATCTTGTACAAACGTACGTTCACTCAATATCAACAGAATTCTTGTGGAACTAACTTGCTAATTTAATAGTAGATACATTTTCTCTTATCGATTACTCCAAGAATACAGAAAAGCGTATCAAACATCAGCCATAAATAAGACATGATTTATTTAATTTACAGAATGAATACTCTCTTTTATATGTACAGGTCGACATGCTGAACACACAATTTGCCATTAAAAGTGCAAATAACCTATAAGTTGTTAAATTAATTGTTAATACTTATTCTGACAATTCGATATTGCGCACCTGGCGATTTTGTTAAAAAGAAAACTTTCACATTAACAGTCGACTAATAGTTAATGCTTTTATTACCTGCAAAGTACAAATTAATCACTTTCCAAAAAATTAAGTTTGCCGATCGTATTAATTGCAATTGCTACTAAAACAATACATTTTGGTAATTAGGGACAGTTTAATTTTCAGGTGAAACCTGTATACAGCTTTTTTTAACTTCACTCATTCAGCACTTTAATAAAATTAATATACCTAACTGTGTTGAATGCATACAAATGACTTTTTCTTGCTTTTCTTATGCAACTTATATGGGTTTATCAGTTATTGGCTGTTGGTTTCGTTCTACTTATCTCATGGGTCTCGGTTGGAGTTGTTCTGCCATTTGGAACAGTAATTTGAATATCCGAAAAAGGCAAAAAACTTATGTTTTTATAACTTACTTACTTCCTTATTAATCGAACGGCTGTATACAATCAAGTATTAATTCTGAAATGATTACGGTATTATTTTAATTTCTATTTCAATTTACACTTCATTCATAGCGATCACCTCGTTAATGAAACGAAAAAACATAATGCAGTGTAACGTTCAACTGATGTATTAAAGTTAAAGGTAGATTGATGCTTCTTATGGATTGAAATACCCTTCTGTCTGCTTAGTTATTGGAACGCACAAAAAATTAGTAAGGGAGGCATTAACATTGGGGTAGTAAATCCCCCCCCCCTTTTATTACGGAAATACACGTTTTGAATCACCAGGAATCTGAATCCAACAAAATCTTGAGGTCTGTCTGCCTGTACTCGCTCATTTCTTGTTAAATGGATGAATCCATTGGATCCAAATTTAGTAGGTACTCATTTCTTTTAATTGGCTGTAAAGGCGTACCTAAAATGGATATGCCTTCTTAATATTTTCAGTAGCTAATTTTGTTTCTAATTTATCAAACATGGCTTTCTACTCTATTTTGATCAAGATACTTAATTATTTGATATTCAAAAAAGTGCATTTGTCAAATGCAGTGCACTGCGATACACTTTGAATTTCAAAGCATATTTTAAACTTAACGTTTTGATTTCCATAGTTTAAGTAAGTAAAAACTTTCTGGAAAAGTCAAAATTTAATAGCAAACGTTAAAATCAAATCACACTCAGTTTCTATTAAAACGTGATAATAATAATAATAGCGATTTAATACCCAACAGAGAAATCTCCAATTATAGGACACAAAAAAAAACGTACAGACAAAAAATACATCTTTTAGAAATAACTACTTGAAATAATTAATATTATTTAACTAATAGCTACAATGACTAGGTATATAAAATAAACAACGTTTCCATTAAATGAAAAAAGAAGATACAAAACTTGAATATATAAAACTTATGCGAAAGAAACAAAAAATAAAACGTGGAATTTCGGTACATGGACAAGAGACAAAAAAACCATATGATATAGAAAGTGTAGATATTAATTATTTACGAATTGTCTTTAAAAAAAACCTTTTACCTGCTGTTTTTTAATTCGGAAAAAGAGTTGCAATGTATATCACCTTCATTTGCAACGACATTAAAATTATTACATACGATTTTACTCTCTATTGTGTAGCAGCTTATGTAAAAAGTTAAAACCAAAAGTTAGCCTATACGTGTTTCTAGTGAATCGAGTTCGAACCTTGCGGCAAGAACTGCATTGTCACAATCTTTTGATCTGGATAAACGCCATCACATTTAAACGACAAGTGATCTAATAAAGTTGTGATTAAACAACCTTTTGTAACCGAAGCCCTTAAATAGTTAGGGTAACGCAATTTAAATGCTAGATGTTAGGGAGTATAGAGGGTGTTTTCATTAAATGGTCAGCTCCGAAAACAATTTTTTATTAAAACCATCAGTAGATCGTGGGACCTGTACGAAGAACTCGATGACTCGAACTGTCTTGATAAATAAAATTTCGGTGGCTGCTCGGACGGTAGAAACTTTTAACTTTCACAAAGCAGACTAACTTTTTCTGAATACCGACAAAACGTTTTTAAAACTTTCCACAAACATTTACTACTTCGCTTGACGATAACTAAACAAATAGGGTAAACTCCCCGAGAAATTAGCGTAAACCAAAGTACACGCTATTTTTACCGTCGCGAAAACTAACAGCTAACAGCAGCAGCCTCGTTTTTACGTTGACTGTAGGATTTAAGGAACACCGCTTCCACTAATCTCCTTCTTCGGGATTTTCAAAAACACCGCCAAGCACGATTAGACTTGATAACGCCAGCTTTCAAGGGACTCACTTACACCGAAAATGGCGCATAACGTAAAACACCTAATCTCTCCTAACAGTGATAAGCACACGTGCGTTAATTAAATTCATCGCAACTGACTAGGATGTGACCTTTTTCAAATAATGCAAACTTGACGAGAAGTGTCTAACTTAAAGGCATCTTATATAAATAGAATAAATCACAAAAGGGAAAATTTAAACAAGAAAATAATACGCAATTACAAACAATTCTAAAAAGGAAAAACAGACACTGAGAATCAACAATTTCAAGTACAATAACCCAACTTTGTGCTTATTTGTAAATAATC